AGGGGTTCATGGTGCGGGGCAGAAAGCTCATCAAAAGAGACTATCCAAACAATTGAGTTCTATAATTAACACACAAAAATCTGTTCAGAAATGGCAATAACAGTAAAAGAAGGCTGAGAAGATGCTGCCTTCTTATGTGGCAGATGTAGTTCTTGTTATGATGTGAGAGAGAAAATCCATCCTCTTAGAAACTAAGAACAACATTCAAGGGGAAAAGTAAAAGTAACTTCTTGTTCCTAAGGGTGCAGTTAAAACGTGAGCTCAAAATATTTCCAAAGAGAAGAGCTGTAGAAAAAGTGATGAAACACATCAAATGTGCTATCAAAGTATTTTTTCAAGTCTTTAAACATAAATTTCTTTTCTCACTGAAACGTATAAACGTGACATTGAAGTATCTCTTATTAAATTATTTTATGCCTTGTCCTTCATTTCACTATTATTGGAATTTTTCTTTAAAGTTGGCTAGAGTCATTGACTTAAAAGTGGTTTTCCCTCTTCTGTTGTGTGTGGAGGGAGATTTGAGTCAAAATCTCTTCTCAAGGAATTTTGAAGTTTTCTTGCGTATGTAGCTAACATGTTTTTCTGCCTCAAAAAGCATAAACCGACAACTGAGCTGAGTCCACAGGTTTTAGCGGCATTGCTCACTTGCCTGTGACAATAAATGTTCTTGGAGGTGCAGAGGGTTTCTTTTGGGCAGCAGGAGCATGGTTTGGTTGTGGTCCTGTCCTGCTTGAGAGCCCTTTCCCTTGGCTCTCGTGTGGAGAGCTCAGCCTTTGGCACAGGGCTCTCACGGCCATGGCTCTGCAGCCAGTGCAGGACTGCATCCCACTGGGCTGTTGTGAATAAGCACTTCAGAACATCTCTGTCACATTTGCTTCTAATAGCAGTTTATTGACTTAACTGGATTTACTTGAGCAAAACCACGTTTCTGTGCTTATTTTTCTCCCTATTCACTTTATTAGGTTCTAATCAGAAATCAGTATTTTCTTGGTTACAAGTCCTCCCCTTCAGCAGAGGCTGAGAATTCAAGCAGGATTTCTCCTGCCTTTGGTCCCTGGTGTCCAGGGCTGCTGCCAGAGCTCCTGCCCAGCAGTTTTCAGCTCGGGGCTGGCCCTCTGGAGCCTTCCCATCCCATCACTGCTCAGCTGCCAGCCAGGCTCAGGGTGTCTCCCGTCCCTGCCTCGGTCCTGCTCAGCCTCCAGGCGCTGCCAGAGCCTCTGCCTGGCGCTCCCTGAGATGTTTTCAAGATATGCACTGCATTTCTAATGGTTTAGGAACTTGTCAGCAAAGAGCTTGGGATGATTACTTTATCCAGCCCTTTGTGAACATTACACAATTTAGATTTTTTTTTCAAGGACTATTAGGTATGACAGACCTCTTCCAAACTCAGATGGAGGGAATTATTGCTATTTCCACAAGCATAACAATTTAAGAGCAAGTACTGGGGGATTCTTTTAAAAAACTCTAAATTTGAAAGAATAACTTTCTTCAGTATTTCCCCCATCCCCAAATAAAAAAACCCAACAACATGGCTTATTTAAAAATAGTTAAAACCAATTGAAGTATTTTGTTGTAGCAGTGTTTAAAAAGAATGTGATTAGAGGAGTTTTTAAATTCTGAAATTGCTGTCTGAAATTTTTTAGTGGAAAATTCAACATTTGGAGAGACCAAGCAAACAGACTTTGCAGCCCACACACGTATTCTTCCTCTTTTTTTTGAGGAAACTTTAAGTCTGAAAATCAGGTTTTAATGTGAAAACTGAGTTGGAAAAACAGCTTGAGAAAATTTACATCGAGATTTGACTGAAGTTCCACAATTCTTCAGAACAATTTTTGCAGTTTTGACATGTATCACTCTGATATATTTGGTAAAGAGAAGGAAAAAAGCATGTAGGCAAGGCAAATTGCATGGCAGCAATGTTTGCTATATCTTGTCTTTCTTTAAGAGAAATAGAAATCAAATAGATTTTAATATTATAACTCAAAGACATCAGCATGATTATTTCAAGCTGATGGCCATTTAAATTAATGTGATTTGTTCTGAGGAGAAATGGTGAACTGAAAATATTTTTGTTTGAGAATTTCCTTTGCAAGTGGTGTAGTTGGTTGTAACCATGTTACACTTGTGAGTGACCTGAATGTGAGAAAAGGTTTTTCTCCCTTAAAAAAAAAAAAAAAAATAAAAAAAGAAACCTAACAGAAAGAACTAATTAAGGCAAAGCTAAGAAATTGAACTCAAAGTTTGCATTGCACATGTGAACTAATCTTTTTACAAAGGCATCTTTCGAAAACTGTGTAAGAGCCCCATTCATGCTGAGTCTCACCCAGCAAATCCTTCCTAGAAAAGCAGCTGCCTGAAGATTTGACATGAGCAAGCAATAAAGACTTCCAGGGAATGAGTTCTGTACAGGCTTCTTGTTTGCCTACTAAATCATTACCTTTCAAAAAAAAGTCCATCCATAGTTGTAATAGGTGTGTCAGCAGCACTTCATGCTAAGAACAGCTTTTACAGGATTAGGTTTGGGTTTTTAAGTGGTGATACCATGGAGCTCTTGGAGGCAAAGAACTCCTGGCTTAATGCAGCACATTCCCTAATGCCCTTTTATGTCTCTTATGAAATGTGGTGAATCTCCAAGCACGCTAAAATGAAGAAAACTGTCTTCAGGAGTAGTTGATTTTTGAAGCAAAATGGCTGTGTGTGCTTCAGGAGCAGCCACTGTGTTTGGAGAGCTTTCTTCAGGTCTTGAAATATTAATGATCTTGGCTTAATATAGTAGAAAACAAAACACAGTGCGTGAAACAAAGGGGGGGAAAAAATCCTTGAGTTACAGAGTGTTGACCTTGCAGTACCCACTGGATACATCTATTCCCTTTGAAACCACAGAGAATGAAAAGACAGGGAGGAATGGTCACAAAAATCTTTACCTGTGACATTTTCTTGTCTTTGTAGAAGCATGTTATAGCCCTAATAGGATTTTCAGCCTTGAACTAGATTGTTGAGTAGATAAGTATTTTAATACCCCAAATATGCTAAAGACGTTTAGAAGCTCAGTGTTTAATGATTTCTGTGGATTGTGATGTTCATATTAAGAGTAATATTAGAGTTTACATGTTTAGTTTTTAAAACTGTGAGTAATAGAGAATTTTGTGGATAAAAGCAGTCAGCTTGGTTTCCTCTAGTATTCTGTTTTTCAATGCTTTGTCTTTATATATGGCAGCAAGATCCTGCCTGTGGGAGTCTGTCCTGGTTGTGTACAGACTTAGGCATATTTCTCATCTGAGCTATGACAGTGAAAACCAGGAGTAATATTTGAGACCAGTATCTGCCACTTGACTGCTGCTGTTGTTAAACCCAGGACATGTAGTGATACAGCAATTTGCTCACCAGATAGTGCAAATCACATATAAAAAAAATTAAAAAAAGAAGGGTTATTATCATTGTTTGTTTGTTTTGCTGGGCAATTCCCATCCCGAGCAGAATAAGCTGTTTTCCAGGTGTTGCCTTTGCATCCTGCCAGTGCCTGGCTGGCGGGCCAGACATGGTGGGTTTGAATTTGTGTTCAGGGACCAAAATTGCTTCTGACGTGGTCAGGCTGGGCTTGACCCCTGCGATTCTCCCTGCCAGAGCTGCGGCTGCTGATTTTAATTGAAACCCCAAGGCTGTTTGAGGCATGGCCAAAACACACCTTGCAAGTCAAACCTTATCTAGTACCACGATGCATGTGAGCTCTGGAAGTGTAAATCTCAGTCACTTGAGCAGTGTGTTTTCACCAGGTCCTCTGGTGCTGTGACAGCCCCGGCGAGTGACACCGGGCTGATCTCCCAGCGCTCTCGCAGATGGCGCGCGGCACATCATAAAGTCAGGACTTGTTAAGGACATTTCATAAAAGGCTTTGGCTAATAAGAATGAAGTAACTTGCTCTTTTATAAATGTGTTACTAGTATCCCTCTCCATCTCCCACTGGAGGGCTTTTTAAGAGAGAAGCAGGGAAAGAGTGAGGGGGACTAAGGGAAGGTTGAAACAGCAAGAGCGAGCCCTGGCTGTGCGGGGCTTATGCCCTCCCAACAGGAGCCTGTGTGTAGCAGGGGAACCCTAAAGGTAGTGTAGGTGATAAATGACAAGATGTGGGAGTGAGTCACACAGTAAATACTGGGAACAGCCTTTCTTTTTTACTGGTTTGCATGCCTGGGAATTTTCTCTCTTCTCCGCAGTGCTAAAAGCCAGTGGTGATGGTGGGCTTTTTTCTCTAGCCAGGGGAGAAATTTCTAGGATGACATACCTGTTAGCCACCATGAAAATGTGTTATTAATGATGCCAATGAGTTTTTTCCAAGTGATGTAAAAGTAGCCTTTTGTGTAAGTCCTGCTTTTATGAAGCTGATGTCACCAAAAGCTTGGCAACCGCACATGGGCTTGGGTGTCAGCGGTGCACTTACTGCTGTGCCCCAGCTTTGAGCAGGGGAGAGCATTGCTGATCTCCCTTGGGGAGAAAGAGCCAAATTCTGCCTTGCCAGGAGGGAGATGTGCCATTTCCGGGCATGCTGGGTTCCTGTTCCACTCCCTCTTAAAAATTGGCAGTGTTTGATCGTCAGCTGCTATTCCTTAAGTGGTCGTGGAATAAACCAATTGCACCCCTTTTGTCAAGCTCTGTGTCTGTGGGGTGCAGGTGGACATGGGTTAAGCCACATGCAACTCCACAGTAGAGCACAAAGGGGCAGCTGATTTTCTGGCACTGTCAACAGAAGAGTGTAATTTTTATTTTTTTTTTTGCCACCTCTAAGCCAGCTTTTAAAATGGCCCTTGTTGGAATTAGAAATCAGTATCCCCTGACATAGGACTACTCATTAACAGTGTGATGATTGTTAATTCTTCACCTGGGGCTAAGAGGACATCATTAGATCTCTTTGAAATGTCTCCTGCCTTGATTTTGAATGGGTAACCTAGCAATTTATGATCACAGCCCAGGCCAGTAACACTTTCCCTTCCTGTTCCTCCATCTAGCTTGCAAAATCGGATACTACAAGGCTCTCTCGACAGATTTTGCCTGTGCCAAATGCCCGCCTCACAGCTACTCCATCTGGGAAGGCTCCACGTCCTGCACCTGCGACCGGGGCTTTTTCCGAGCGGAAAATGATGCTGCCTCCATGCCCTGCACTCGTAAGTTCATCTTTGAACAATCTCTTGCCCCTTTTATCACACATTTCTTCTCTGTGTCTCTAAAAAGCGTTCTGCTTTCGGTATTCAGTAGCTCTTATGGCCCTTTGCAAATGCAGGTTGCATTTTGGCTCACCCTTCTGAGTGGCAGTGTTAGTTCTCAGCCCTCAGTTCCTAATGGTGGCATGGTTGTGCAGACCCTCGTGAGCTTGCAGTGTAAATAAATCAGAAGACACAAAAGAGGGACTTGCACACCTTAGTAACACAGGTAGAAGTAAAATACAGGCCTTAGTTCCAGTCTGAGCACATGGCCAGTAGATCACATCACCTTTCACCTCTTTAAAATATCCATATTTATAGAAATTGTGAAAGCTTTCTGTGTAATGGTATGACCTCAGGTAAACAGGTAATATTTATAATCTCATTATATTTCTAATTTGCTTGAAATATAGCTGGTGACCCTTGGGAACTTAAGTGTTCTTCTGAAAGGGGTGGTAATAATAAATCTTAAACTTTAATGAAACAAACCCCAATGCACAGTTTATTTTATATATATATTTATACATTATTTCATCCTGTGTAGGTAAATACATCATGTGCAGCAAATGGAATTTGCTTGAGTTCCATCAAAATGCCTTCATCAGGGAGAAGGAGAGATGCATTGAGCACAGTCACAGGGTTGCTGGATAAACTTCTTGTCCTATGTGTTGGTTAATGGCTCGTGCAGTCCAAGACCTGGGATTCCAGGCATGTCCTGGTGTTAAATTGTGATCATCTAGTTCTTTGGTTTTCACTTTCTTAGGAGCAGAGCAGTTTGAAACAATAAGTGAAAGGACTGTATTTTACCATGTATTTTATCCATGTGTGGCTTTCCCTGAAAGCTATTGGAAGTGCTTCCAGATTTTTGGAGTTCAGCTGTACGTTTATGTAGAGAAAGTGTGTGTGTGTCTGAGTGAGGGAAGGCTGAGATATTTCTTTAGTAACATTTTAATATATTGAGAATTAATTTTGTGAGAGATGACTCACATTTATTTAAACCTTACTTTCTCCCTTACAAGGCAGAAACAGAATATGTCCATAACTAAGTTAGCACTCATCCCTTCCCCTCACCCCCTTGATTCCAGCTGTTCTCCAGTGATTTCCTTCTTTTCAGCAGTGAGTTTTGCTGGGTGGTGGTTGAAGAGGCCAGGGCATAGCCAAGAGCAGCTGCTTTTGCTTAGTAGGAAGCAGAGTGGTGCATATATCCCTTGCCAAGTATTGACTGGGAATGGAGCTTAACTGTATTGTGAAACCTTGCCTAAATGGGCAAGAACATGCTTTCATATATATATATTTCACATAATATAATTTACACTACTAGATCTAAAATGTGACCAATTTGATAGGAAAAATGTCCTTCTGCAACAACAAAACTATTGTTTGGAATGTACACTCTAAATAACATTATACCAACAGAAGTTTTTCAAAGCACTGGTCCTTGTGAATGATATCTTGACCAAATTGAAATCGAATTAGTAATCAACTGGTTGAATATAAATAGGCATGTGCAGTTAGTGAAGTACGAGGAGAGAGGAAAACATTTCCAGATGGGGAAATCATAGGCAAATGATAAGTATGTTTGCTGGTATTGCAAAATGCACCCCTGCAAGCTTAGCCCTTTTTTGCCAAGTCTTGGGCCTGCTGCAGGCACTCTTCTCCAGTCCTGTCTTGGGGGGTCAGACAAAGCTGGAGTTCCTGATCTTAGTCTTTTACCTCAGAAATACAAAGAGGGAAGGAGAACAGGCAAAGGCTGTGGTGCTGGCCTCCGTTTTCGTCTCTGCAACAGCCTAGGAGGACTCTGCCTGCAGAAGCAAGCCAACACCAAAATCCTATGGACTCCTGCTCTTGGAAAACAGGCCTGTCTCTGGAGGTCCTGTTTTGTAGCTTTGGGTTTTCCTGTAGATGAAGGGCTTTTTTTCTGCAATCCAAGGTGAAGGACGAGGCAGGAGGTGTTCTGAGCTGGCCTGTGGGGCTGCTGTGCCCGCTGGCAGCCCCCTGAGCCCTGCCCTACCTGTGCTGGAAGGGAGGTGGTGCCGCCCAGGTACAAAACAGGGCTCTGTGGGCTCTGCCTTTGCCACGCTCCCCCTCTGAGTGGCCTTCTGCCCATGTGTCTGGGGCAAGTGACAGCATTCACAGGGCCTCTGCTGGAGGAACACCCTTCAGAAGAAGGGAGACGTTCATCTGACTTTCCTGACAAGATGTGTAGACGGAAGGGAGCATAAACATCAAAGGTGCTTTCAGATGGATTCAGACTGTAATCAGTTCTTACCAGTTGGTTAAACCAGGTGACAAACCCAATTCCCTTATGCTGACAGCCATAATAATCTGGCACCTTCTTTGTTCATTATGCTCTCTTTAACTCTGGTATTCTCATTCGGGCCTGCATTTAGTAATCGCTCAGTGTGACGGCACGCTAATGAAGAAATAAAACACAGTATCTGAGATCCATTCTTCTAGCAAAAGGATAGACTCTGCTCCACTGGCTTGTAAAATCAGGTTTCTGTTCACTTGGAGAACTATTAGACCAGGTGAATAAAAGTAACATTGGATAATTTGGAAAGAACACCTGGAATGGACTGTGGATTGATCCCTTCTTTATTATTACTAAACACTTTTTAAGATTAAGAACTTCAGCCTTCTTAAGATGTGTTTTTGTAAAGCTTTGACCCTTGGCTATTGATTTCCTTTAGTAGTAAACTGGCTGGTCTTGTCACTTATCTTGCCTTCTAGGTTGGGGGAGGAAGATTGTTAGGGCTTTCCATTAGCTTGATTGTGTTAGTGGATGAAAGGGAGTTGGAGAATTCCTCTTCCTTTTCCTTTCTTTCGATTCCTAGGATAAGTAACAAAAGCAGTAACTACTTCCTGGTGTGCTGGCCAGGAGACGTGCTCCAGAGTTTTCCCTTTCCATAATACTACGCTCTGACATCGCCATCCCTTGCTGATCTGTAAAAACCGTGTCTAATCTCAGCTAAGCCAGGCATCAGGCTCCTAAACAAGTTACTCAAAGTCTGCTTTTAGTATTCTGCTCTATTTTAGCTCTGCTAGAGTGAGTAATTATGTCTGGTGTAAAATTTGTGCAAGTAAGAGCAGGTTGTGGCAGTGTGGGTGTAGAGACAGCGGAGTGGGCTGTGTTGAAGGCCAGAAACTCTGGCATACACGTGTTTACTGGTGCATCTTTCCCCTCAAACTTGCCTCCTGGGGATAGTCACCCATGTGTCACCACCGAGGGGCAGAGCCAGCCTGGGTCTGCTGCTTTGGCCAAACTTGGGAATTCAGACTTTGAGCTCTGAAGCACAGTGGGCTTGTCAGCTGTGTGCTTGGGCATGGGATGGGATGGGATGATAGACTTGTACTGCACCTGAGCCCAAACCATGGAAAACACAGATGCCTTTCCCTTTCAGAAGCATTGCAAAAGTAATGTCAAGGCAACCCTACAGACTTTCATTATATTTCAGTACTTGCAGAGGGGAAAGGTCTTTCATAAGGTTAGCAATGTGATGGAGAATAAATTGCCTTAGCCACAGATGAATCCATGAGGCAGGAAAACAAATCAGTCTCAATCATGGCCCTCGTCCCTGAATTCCCTTCTCTGTAAGGAGATATCCTGTGAATTGTAGTCTGGTGCAGGCAGGTGCAGTTCCCACCCAAATTAATGGGCGTTGCTCCTGTGTCCCCACCATTAATGAGCTGGGTTCTCTAACTCTTAACAAACAATACTCAGATTATGAGCGAGAATGGGACGGTTTAGTATTGTTTATATTGTCTGTTTGATTCAAATTATTAATGATTTTTAATTGGGAGCCGTTTACAAAAGAGAGATTACCATCATGGACTGTCCAGCTTGAAATCTGCCTCAGTAAATGACCCTGAATAATTTAGTCAGTTGTGTCACCCAAACAGGGAGTGATGGATTGACTGATATTTTGTCATGGCCCGAAATATTTCAAAAACGGTTGCATTTAAGACAGTTTATACTGGAGAAGTTTGGAAATAGTAAGAGGAGATTTAATGAGATGCAAGAGAAGAGTGCCTGCTTGAAAAGGACCTTCTCCAGTCTAGGTTATCAAGAAACTGAATAGCCTGACTTCAAACAGCAAACATCACTTACTTGTCTTTACATTCCCCTCTTCTAATTGAATTTAGTGCACTGCTGTATTTCCTTCAGAAAGTATATTGTTTTTAAATTACCATTTCAGTGCTATTACTCAAGGCTCCTGCTTCTAATGCTTTCTGACAGTTATCAGCATAATGAACCATAATGAAATGATGAGCAATCTACAGTGGAAACTCAATGTGAATTCCACTAGAGCTGTGTGACTGTGTTGTTAAAATTTGAATGCACATTAAAATAACACTGTCCTTATTTGTTTCCAAGGTCAAGGCTTTAAAAAAGGTCTGAAAGGTCTAAACACTTCAATTTTGTTAATGTTGCAGTCTTATATATACATTTAATGCAATTTTGTGTTACATTTAATGTATCTCAGAGATAAATATTTGACCTGCATTTTCAAAAAAAGAGTGGATTTACCTACCTAATAACTGTGGCTGCAAATTAATAATTGCATAGGAGCTGATTATTTGAGCACATGCTTATAATGATTGCTTTGACTCTAAACAATATAAATAAGCAAATGTGCTCTTTTTCCTTCAACTTAACTTGCTCCTTTTCTAAGTTTCCAGTGGGATGTGGATTATCACCGTTGTGGCTGCTAGGAAAAAAGAAAGCAGGATACACCACACAATCGTGCTGGCTACTGCGTTACAGGAGGCTTTGCTCTGGCTTTGCAACATTTCAACACTTGTGCTGGCACTACTGCAGTCCTCTGGAGTAAGAGGTGTCTGCCAGTAAAGCTTTTCATCTTCAGAATTTAAATTTATGACATAATAACTCTTCCACATCTTTATATACATATATGTTTGCACCTTGAGTAAATGATATTGTTCTTAAAACAATCCTGTGATAT